TCTTTTCACCGAGGGACATTTCTATGAAAGAAGCTTACAATTTTGTTGACTTCGCCAATATGTTTCACCTCACAAACAGGTTTACTTGTGAAAACGTAACCTCGCAACAATCACAAAAATCAACGAGGCGGTTAAAAGCAAACTAGAAGGCAATTTGTGTATGATCAGTTTAACTGACTCCTAAAAACGGCAATCGCGTAGATGGAGTATAAATTACAGATTGTGGTTTATGATTAAAAGAGAAATTAAAACTGTGAATTAACAGAGGCAGCGAATTCGGCATGTTAGAAGCGGACATGTAAAGAACTCGAGCGCAGCGAACTCAACGAGTAGCGAAACTGGTCCTAAGCTTCAGTTTATTACCCTAAAAAAAATTATTAGGGTAATTATAATGACCAATTAGAAAGAATGTGTTTGTCACTCGAAACCGGTGAAAAGTCAAAAGAAACCGAAGTAAACGAACCTAACTGCGACCGCTTAGATTGAGATTGAGATTGATTTTCTTTTTGATCTGAGTGATTTAGAAGGACCTTCACAGAACAATAAAATATTAGCAAAGCAATTCATAATTACACTCGTCACTCAGAACAATTTTCAATTGAGTTTTGAAAGTAACCCGGAATTGCATTGGGTTTGCCTTACTTTGATTTGTGATTGGTTCAGAAAACTCGCGCCACTCTCTCAACCAATCAGATACAAAACGATTCGGTCGCCGTGTTTTCCCGCGCTTTTGGCGGTTTGCTTGTATTTTACTTTGAGTTCTGATTGGCACTCCAGGATATTTTTCTTTCTTCCGATTGTCCGCTGTAATTACTTTACTTTGGTTCAACAACGCTCAATCCAAAAGCTCTCCAAAAGAACGGCTCTAGATCTTAACTTCCAATATGAATAATTTATCTCAGGTGGGAGTCAGCGGTGCGGTGAATGTTGCAACTGGAGATGTGAGAGTAAACGGAGAGGTTGTCCCAGACGCCGATAAAACAAATTACGTGATGGTGATACCAATATCTGACGGCGCAGTTATAGGGCATGCCATCGTGTTCAAACAGCTGTCCATGGGGTTCACCACAGAAGTCACACTTACTCGATGATGGCCTTGACGGCATATGCATTTTCTTCCTTTAGATTGATAATAAAACTCTTTGAATGAATAAAACGATGTCAAGCGAAGTTAAATTTGCTAAAGAGTTGTAGAGGGCTTGTCACAGAAATGTAAAGCTGAATAGTAGAATGGAAACCAAAAAATAAAGGTTTGACCAAAACCAAAAATAAAGTTTCTCTGTGAGTTATAAACCGATAGTACACTTTAAAATGTCTAAATCTTATCCTTGAATACTTTTAACACTCAAAGGCAATGCTAAGAGTAATCTTTAAGGGGGACTGGTGCGTGGCATTGAAAATAACGACCGTGTGGGAGACTTTACTGTGGAACGTGACTGCGACATGAAAGGTCACGGGATACGCAAGGTGGCTGGAAACAATTTTGAGTCCTGCCAGCTACATTTAAAGCGCTCAAAAACCTCAAACTTTCCCTATTCGCAGTTAAACCAATTTCACCCTTGTGTTGACTAAAGGATTGAAGTTTGACATAGTGGGCGCCACTATTGTGCTAATGTTATGGGGAATAATTTTAAAGAGCTCTTAAGGACTGTCTCAGAAAATCCTTGATAGACTTTCTCACAACTTCAGGATTTTCTTTCTTGAGAAGAGGCCTCGCCTTGGAGCGAATTTTAAAAAATTAGCTGGTGGCCAGAGCATGGGAAAGCTGTTTCCAGCCACCTTTAGGCGATAACGGCTGAACTCTTCCCCCCCCCCCCCCCCCCCTTAATCTTAACCGCGTGTATGGATGCGTGCGTGTCTGTATGAATGTGCGGAAGGGGAACTTACCACAGCGAAAACAGTTCGCTATTCGAAGGCAGTCCTACTGTATCGTTTCAAAAAGCTACAGTTCCTTTCATTTCCGATGTGAAATCACGAAGAAGTTTTGCACCCTAGCCTTTTGTTTCGGCCGATGCCTATCATACCTTTCTGTAAAAATCTCCAATCTTATTGGCCATGTAAGTGAAGGGGTAGGTGCCGTTATTCATCACTTTTTTAAGTTCATCAACTCAAAAAAGCTTTTGTTTCAGGTGGTGCAGCGCTGTTTACTTAATTTGCAGCTGCCTCTGTTTGCGTGAATACGAGCCCGCTGATACACGTGGTAAGTAAGCGGTATGGTCCACATCACGTATGGCCGCGAAAATTCGAAAGTGTCACCCCCCCCCCCGCCCCCCCTCCCCCTCCCCCTCTCTCTTTCTTCCCTGTCACATCCTTTAAAAAATCCGAACTACGCCCTTAAATTGATAGTACAAAAAGATATCTGAATCCGCAAAAAATCGCTTTTATGTGATAAATCTGCCAACCGAGATTAAAGAAGTTGAACCTCAGCCGATCGCCATCCCTTGTAGTAAACGAGGTAGACACCCTCGTTTGGCCATCCTCCTTTGGGATGAAAACAAAAGTTAGTTTTCCAATTCTTCATTGCATTATGAGGAAAACTCTGAAATACAAAGTAAATACATAATGTTTAAAAAAATGAAAATAATGGAGAACCAAACATTGACCAGTTTTGAAATAGAGAGAACTCTTTGCAAATGAGTCAAAAACACTTTGCTCGTCTATAACCTGGCTTTATGACTAGGTGCTGTACAAGACCATTTTTGGGGCCACAAGGGAAGAGGCTTTGGTTTGCTAGGAGTTTGTTTAAATATAAAGCTGAGAAGTAACATCTCAGCGTGCCATTGGGATCACATCTTTGTTAGAATTATCGAGAGGTTCGCAAGTTTTTGTTGGTTCATCAGATAAAGTTAAAGTAAAGGTGAAAGTTTTTCGAAAGGAGCGTAAGAATGATAAAAATGAGCTTTTCTTACGAGGTATTTGTCAAAATTGCACCGACGCGGAAATAAATCAAGCCCGTGTTTTTCAAAAAATGTCAGTGGCGATTGTTAGCTAAATGAATACAGCGATGGAAAAATAACATCCGGCTTTGTAAGATGTCTTTGTTTCACACTTTGAACTCGAACAGCTAAATCAACAAAAAAACACATCTTTTGACCGCCATGCTAACATTAGTTTTCATTGTGTCTTATTCTGGCGTCATATATGGCTGAAAGACAGCTATTACACAAGGCTGGACCAGCAAAGTGTAGTTAGGCTCTGAAAGAAAGAAGTTTGCAGGTAGGGCATAACTTATGTCTTTTAATCAAACCTTGCACATTCTGGTTATGTAGGTTGGCATCGCAAAGTTAATTGAATGGCTCCTTGGAGGTTACTCTTAATTTTAAAAGGTAGCACTTTTGTGTGACAGATTACCTGCTAATTTTGAAAATCAATCGGCTTCGAGAAGATACGTGAGGTGTCTCATTAGAGCAGGAACATGCTTGACTTGCATTACTTCATTAACCAACTAAGCAATACACTACAGTGCCTAGATGTGCATGATACCCAGTTCTTGCTGGTTAGTTCGTTTTTAATAATTCTAGCGTCAGTTAAGCTCAGAGGTCGTGGAAGTTTTTAAATGTTTAACAACATGGCCCGCCGTGCAAAAACCTATAGTTTAATCTGAATACCTTTTCTGTTTTCTATGAAGTTCAACAATTCCTTCATCTCGTGGTCACGACCAAATTCTTCGGCTCAATGGTGGTCATAGAAATAGTGAAACGAAAAGTTACCTGAGCCTTTCTAAAAGTTACCTGGTATTATTTAAACAAATGTTGATTTTGTCTTCTTAATAAATGTTTTGGATGTCTTTTAATGTCAACAATATCTTTTTTTTAACCTCTAGTGTTTTAAAAGTAAACGTAATATTTCAGCTGCGAAAGCCTTCATTAAATGTCCCTTGAGGCCATATTTACAATTAAAGGGAAAAGGATGTAACTTTCCAGTTTTTATCGGTTTTACGATTAAAACTACTATCAGCATTGAAACTGAAGGGGTTTGTTCATTGGATGGTTAAAAAATCTTGTGTAAATTTTTAATTAAAGTTTAGATGAGTCGCAAACTGTGGTTTTTATCAAATCACGACTTGATAGCGATTACTGCTATTCTTAAAATTAATAATTAAAGGTTACATCGAGGATTCTCAGAATTAAGAAAAAAATCTAATCTTTAATTTATAACTGACAAATTTTTAACGTATTGCCAGTATCAGCTGTGGGTGAAAAAAGAAACTTGTAATGGAGTTTTTGTTTTGAAGGCCGATAGATGAGTGTTAATATGATGGAGCTGTAAGAAATTTTAATCGAGGTGTTATTAATAAAAAGAACATTTTATTTAGGAAAACTGTCCACTTTTAGCGGGAAAAGGAATGCAAAACATGAATTTTTCATGATGTTTTCGTTGTGATTTATCTTTAAAAACGAATATCACCCGAGCGAAAATCATTTTCTTGTTAACCCCATAAACAAACTCAGCAGTGACAAAGTCGACAATGAGAACAATGACACGGCAAAAGCCTTTTATATTTTTTGTAAATACCGACTTTAAAAGCACTAAGAACTTTTAATTAGCTATGCTAAGAGACGGCCATGGTTAAAAACTAGACAAAACATATTTATTTTTGTGATATGTAATTTCTAACCTTAACTAGAGGAAGATGAAAGTTGGCGTTTGGTTGATCATCAGCACATTGTGGTTGCTTTTGCAATTCGCAAGCTCCCAGTTTGCAAGTAAGTTTCCTATTTTTTTTTACTTGAAAGAGATATAATGATGATATCGAAGCGTTATGCGGTTTATAAATGTTGTATTATTGACTTTCTTTTCCCTTTTTTTTTTAATTCTCTAACAAAGAAAATTTGGAATTGCAGACATAGCCTATCAAAGCGACTATCACATCACATTCCCGGAACGCGTGGATGGCAGGCGGGGAAAAAGGGATTTGTCAACATCTGAAAAGGTTTTTTTTAAGACAAACGCTTTTACAGTCGCTGAAACGTTTTTCTGAACGTAAGCTTTTGAATTCTCCGCTAGAGGGTTGAATTAAAACCATTGGTGTAATGCAAACCTGTTTGAAAAATGGACGGGGAAAAAGAATGGATAACCTGGCATTCAATTGGGATAAAACGGAATCAGTTTTTTCAAACTAATTTTTGTGCTTATGGCGAAGCCAAGCAACTTGCAGAAAAGCAGGATTTAAATTATATATATATATATATATATATATATCGATTTATTTTTAAATGCGTTTTAACGCAGAACGGAACAATTTTTTATTTAAAACATTCTTCTGGGAATTAATTTCATAGAAAACCACTTTAGGCTCCTATAAATCACTTTCGTCAACCAAGATTAACTGTTAATTATGCCAGCTCGGTAGACCTGGATGATGATGTTACTTTGTTTCAGGGAGTTCACGTGGATGACGCCTCCTATCGCCTGAATACCCCTGACAAGGACTGGACCCTAGATATAAAACGAAATAAGTATGTTTGGTTTCATCATACGACTGACTTTTGACCAAAGTCTACTAATTTTCAAGATGTCTCTGTTTAGTGGAAAGTTGTTTGCATGTTGTAGGTTCACCTAAGCATTGATAAGTGTTCTGGTTATCTCTTTTACTCGGTAGAGAGACTTCGTGACTTCAAATTTTTGAGAAAATCAATGTTGTCATCAAACTAGAATACAATTTCAAAGATTAGGAATAAGGGGGAAATTTTAGGATATTCACAGTTCTGGTGTACTTTTCTTTTCTTGAAAAGATTGTAAACCACCACTGGGATATTAGCGAGAAATGCTAACCAGTAACGTGGGCAAGTTTTTCCTTCTTTCTTGATAAGGGATGCAGAATGAAACGTTACAAAAAGTGACACTGGTCTCTAAAATCCGTCAATTTTTGGGTTATGATTCATTTATTTTTCTTCTTATTCTTTATGAGAGAGAGATAACCAGTCGTTTTGTTTTTCTTTGTTCATCTCATAGAGATCTTATTTCTCCATCATTTGTCGTTCGCACATTTGCTAGTGATGGTTCAGAAGTTATTCAAGAGGTAATTTGCAAAAAACTAAGATTTTTTAACATTGTTTAGAGCAGTGTTAAATCAAGTGTTGAAAGTAATCTGAGATTGCATTGTTTTTTCTATATTTCGCTCTGTGATTGGTCTAGAAAACTAGCGCCACTGTGTCAACCAATCAGATGCACTCCTAAAACCAATCACGACTTTGTCGCCCGCGTTTTCCCGGATGTTGGCTCAAAAGTTTTTGTTATAAGTTTGTTTATCCTCATTAACATGTAATTAGACTTACTTTGGCACTGGCATGTTAAAAAAGTTTACCACAGGAATACCAGCAAACCAAACTACCTGGCAACCTAATGTGGTGCATGACGACTGGCTTTTGAATAGTTGAAAACTGTTGCCTGAGATTTAGAGTTTTACATTCCCTAACTGCCATCACTCCCTCCTTCCACTGTTGATCTGTGAATGCATATGTGCATAATCTCTAGAGTTTGATAATTTGGTTTTACCAAGTGAGTTGATAATGTAAACTGGCCACCGTAAAGTGTTCAGCAGTTTCTAAGGTACATTGGCCAATTTAAATTATCAACTCATTTGATAAAACCAAATTGCCCATGGCCCCACAGTTTTTATATAATCTTACCCTTTTCATTTCTAAAATTTTTCGGTTTATACCCAAATCCTAACGCGAATGTTAGGGATGAAGAGGCCCCGCACGAAATTGAAGTGACAAACTCAAATTTACTAAGCTGCGTTTTGTATGATGCATAATCACTGTGTTGTCTTTCATCTATTGGCAAATTGTTTTTCACAAGAGAATCGCCGACGAAACAAGTTAAGTTATTAAGTGCTACACTCGTTAACCCGGTTCACCTTGAACATTTTGTATCTTTTTTAAATCTTTTTCAGGGAGGTCCTGATCATTGTCATTATCAAGGGTCCATCCGAGGCCTAGCAGATTCAACCGTTGTGTTAAACACTTGTTCAGGACTGAGGTATTAAAAAAGCCCTCATTCATGAAAAATATTCCCAAGGTGCCTCGTAAAAATAGCTCAGCTTGTTACGCGATTTACTGAAACGCTGAGACAAACCGATAAAATAGTTGGGCAGTATAATCGTCCAGATAAAATAGTTGGGCAGTATAATCGTCCAGATCAGTATGGCGTGTGAAAGAACTGTTCTCAGTGTCAGCATATCACATCAGATTCAAATGATTTTATAATGACGTACGCACTGGTTGTCGAAACGTTAACCGCTTTAAATAAAAACAGTTGCAGCACTGCTTTAAAAGGAAAGCTAGCACAACAACCTTTTTTTTTGCGCTACAAAAACATCCAAGCGGTTAAAAAATTATGCATCGTGGTTTATCCATAAAATTAAATATTCCTTTCCTCTAAGGGATGAATGAAGTTAAAAGTACAACAGTGACCCATATTGAAGAACTCCGCGGTGATTTGCCGACACAAGTTTTATGGTTTTAATCAACGTACGTAGGCGTATGTGCCTTGTATAAAAAAAATTTATTAGACACTTTCACAAAGAGAAAAAAATACTTTTTTTTTTCAACACCTACGGTAAACCGAACGGAAGTCTTTGCTTTGTACCCACACCGGGCTGGGTCTCACTACATGTCTGTTATTTTATTGTATTTTTTTAATACCGCATTTTAGCCATTAACTTTAACTAAACCTATGTAAGAGTCCAAAACAAAATAATTGGGGTCCCTTGATTAGACTATGATGACCACAAGAGACATGGACAAGTATAAAGGTGAATGAAGAAGAAATTTTGCAATTTCTCCTAACCAGGGGGCTCGTAGATGATGGCAAAGATACATTTTATATTACACCTGAGTCTGGAGGAGAAGTAAGTTTTATTATCGAAATAAGAGTTTGATTTAATAACACACAGAATTTTACTGTTGATTCCTCTTCATGATTTCAAATTACCAGTTATAACCCCGCTTAGTAATTATATGCGTGATTGTATTTCACTGTAGGAAACTGGCGCCCACAAAATATTCCAAGCAAATGAAGACGAAGCCAAACACATCCTGGATAACTGCGGTAAGGCAATTGGCGGAAATATAATTTTACCACAGAAAAAAAAAAGTGGAGCTCGCCATAAAGCATTTATTTTTCAACTACGTGGACTAATGTTTAGACAAGTTTTAACGACCATCTTTGTAACTCTAGTGAGTAAGTAAGAGATTTCTATGGTTTGAATAGCGTTCTTGTTTGACAAAATATTCTCTCACAACCTCTGCACGTAAAGCTGATGAGTACGGACGGATGCTTTGCCTCTATTCATTTCAGTGTGAAAGTCGATGTGCTTAAGCGTTCTATTAGCCAAGATTTGGCTCAGCCGTGAATGCAAAGACATAAGCACACTCAAAGAAAAGAGAAAAGTCTTTATTTTTACTTAGAATACTCATGCAAACGTCCCGTAGTCCTTTTCAATAAATTTGTTTCTAATATCAATTTTTGGTTTCTTTCTTTACTTCAGGAAACAAAGAAACTCATGCAGATTTGCATCAATCAGTGGAAAAGTCAAGTGCAATTTCTCGGGTAAGATATTGATAAGAATTTTTTTCCTTAGGAATTTCTTCTTTTCATTTATACATCAACGATCTCGTGGATAAGAGGTAAGGGTGAGAGAGAGGCAAAAACTGGAAACAGCATAATATATCATGATTTTTTTTTATGTTTTCATTAGATAAGACGAAGCATATCGGGCCACGTTGATGAATTCTACAAACCATTTTTGACAACAGATGAGACGAGATACAATGAGCTGTTATTGGTTGTAGATTTTGGAATGGTAAGTAATACGATAAATTTTGAGATTCGTAATGATCTCAGAGTAAAATTTATCCTCAAGTTCCCATGCATTTATTACAGGAAAGAACGTTATGTTACACTAATCGCTTGCACCTTATCAGTGGTTTTTATACTCTCCATACCGTTTCCCAGTCTTTCTCTACGGTCCTGAAAAGGGAATGTATCAAATAATCGTTTCCTTTATTCTCTTGACATTTATTTTTAATCGAGGGGTAAATTATGGGGAGAAAAAAGTTCTTAGTGTCTTTCAGGTTTAAAAGGTTAATTAACTTGATAACACGATCAGGAAAGCAAGTTACCCGGTTTTCCATCACACCTTACTATGGTCGGGAAAGCAAAAAATTCGTATGAACAATCTTGTAATTTACGAAAGAGTTTGTCACATTTAAACTTTGTTTTGGTGACATTGAGGATATGGGATTTTATGGAAGATATGAAATTCATTTCGGGAGTAAAAGGGGCTAGATCCCTGTCTTAAAGAAGAATTCGTGATTTGTTAATTGCTCCGTAATTATTAGGTTCGGTACTTACTGAGGGTTTCCTTTTTTTTTTGCTTTTCATTTTTTAGTACTTGAAACACAACAATGACACCAAAGTAATCACGGACCGAGTGATAACACTGGCAAACGCTGTTGATGCCGTGAGTAATCAGTTTCAGACACTGAGTGAATCACGACTTTCTGGTTACTTGTAATCACGAAAACAACTCTTGTCAATGAAGTCACTATCGAAATCCAGAGAAAAATTGGCCTTTTAATAAACAACCCACGGTCCAAATTCCAATTCGATCTGGAAAGAGTGGACATGTCATTTTTCATTCCCTTTTAATATTCAACTATTTGGATATTTAGTCATCTTCCTAGTCCCCACGGGATAGCAGCAGCGAACAAATCAGTCTAATGGAATGTCTATCATGACTACCCTATTTTTCTTTATTTAGATTTATCAGCGGATAAATATCAGGGTAGTCTTGAAAGCGTTGGAAATTTGGACGAATGGCGATCCTTTTGAGCGTCAAAAGAAAGGAGGACCTGACCTTGGTCGCTTTACTTCATATCGAAACGACCATTTAATAAAAAAATTTCCTCATGACAACGCACAGTTACTGAGGTAAGAAAATTTCGCATTTTAATAAATCAAAGATGACAGAGAAGTTCGAAATACTTTTTGTTTCTTAAAAAAATATTGTAGTAGGGGAAATGTAGGGTCTACGATTAATTGGGGGAAGTTTCACTGATAAAGCATTAATTGTTCATCGTACCAAGTCGAATATTAAGTACGAAACAATATAACTGATCACGGTTGTCATGGTTCTGCTAAGTTCCCTGACTAAATACCTAAGCTCCAAATTTGTTTAAGAAATATAGGATTACATGGATGACGCACAAAACACACAACTTCATTGGCTTCGGGCTCCAAAACTCGGACTGGTTTTACATGGACGAAAAAAATTTATCTTTAATCATTGGAGAAGTTGCATAGAGTTCCCTTCTTTTTTTCGTTTCAGCGAGTGGCGTTGGTCTGACTGTGCTGGCATGGCGTTCCTATTTGGGATGTGTGGCTCTGTATCAACCGGTGTTAATAATGTAAGTTAAAAAGTGATCGACTGATTGCGAAAACTGATAACAGTGCTCTCTAATTAAGTACGAATGAAAGTCACTTGGAAGATCAACTCTCCAATGTGACTGGTTAACAACTTTCCGAAAAACGATACATGCTTATTCGGTTTTTTGAATTTAAATCAAACAAAGTGAAATCAGATAGCCTCTCAAGCATAAGTGTCAAATACTGAGCAAACCATAAATCAGAGCTTCCAATAGAGAAGTTGAGTCAAGTTGTAGCAACAAATTTAAAAATGATGCTGTAAAGTAGTTGCCCCTTGTTCGACGTACCTCTTGAACAGATTCACCCAAAACTCTAGAGCTTGTCATGAGTGATTAATCTCCCTCGTCTCCTACAGCCCTAAACACCCTTGTTTACTATTTTCGCTGTTTGTAATTTCTATTAATAAAACCTAGACTGGTTGGATGTCTATGGTTATGTTTGGTTACCACAACTGGACGATATTTTCATAACATGTACAAGACACTGAAGAAAGCACTTCAGAATCTTGACTCCTCACACTATTGGAAGCTGAACATTTAAGATTATGCATAGATGCATTATCGTTTATGTAAACGTCTCTGTAGGAGGCTGATATTTTGGTCTAGTTAATCTTAACGGGCTTGATAGCTACATTAAGAGATCGAACTTAGGTTGTTTACTTTTACTTTCCAAGTGGGATTATGGAAGCATCATTGGCCCTTATGTAATATTGGCACACGAAATGGGTCACAACTTTGGATTCAGCCATGACGAAGGTAAGAATGACGAGATACTTAGAAATCCTAGCCTTAACCTAAAGGTGGACAAGGTTCAGGTGGGATCTCTCAGCAACCATTAAAACCTCCCTAACTCTATTAGTTCGCTGTACTATCTCCAGATAACAAAATCTAAATTTCTTTCATGGTTTACTTTAGTTGTTCAGTTTTTCGATTACTAGTTCTTTCATTTCTCTATGTATTTTATTCGTGTTTAACACAAGCCCAAGTTGTTAACAACTTTGTTGCTGATATGGTTAACCTATTAAGGGATAGGAACATAACTTATTATTTTAATCATTTTCCCCTACTTTAAAAGATCGTCAGTAAAACAAAACAGACGTGCAAAAGTTTTTTCTGTTTAAGATTTCTGTCATTTGCTCCACTGAATACGTTAAAGTGACCTTATTACTTAATGAAGAGAAATTCTGAAAGCAAACTTACAAATGAATTCATCACAAAGTGATTGTTTACGGGATCATCTTCTCTTTCGCTCATTTGTAATGAACTCTTTTCCCAGGAAGCTGCAAGTGTTTGACCCCAAGAGGCTGCATCATGGGCGGTCACAAGTATGTGATATTTGCATAATAGATATGTGCACGCCATTTCGCAAGAAGAATCTTCAGCTTGAGCTATAAGAGCCAGCCGGAGGCCAATACATCTAATCTAAAACAAGCAGGCTACACGACTCAATAAGGAACGTTGTGATTGGATGTCATGTAACCAAAACCAAACTGTAATTACAAGCAATGGCTATTATTGTGCAAATACTACAAAGTTACCAGTGACAAATCTTTCAGTACAGATACTGTAAATAGAGTTACTTTGACATAATTGACGAATCAAATAAAATTGTGCGATGGACCGGGTCGATAATAAGCCAAAGAACACGAAAAATTTGAACGGAAATAATTCGTCATTTCATGTTACCCTATCGGCAACTTTGGACTTAGAGATTGATGCTTGTTTATATTACAAATATATTAAATTTGATATGCAGGACCAGAGTTCCAGGATTTTCCAACTGTAGTATGACTTCACTTCAAAGACTCAATGATTGGTGCTTATATAACGTGCCAACACACAAGGTACATAATCTTATTTCAAGAAGGAGTAGTTACTATGGTAACAGATGTATCAAATATTGTGCTAACTGAACTTCGTGGAAAAACATTCTTTTCATAAAGTATGCAACATAAATATTGATAACTAAACTATAGTTGTCCGACGTTTCGATGTTTAAACTATAGTTGTCCGACGTTTCGAGGTTGCTAGAACCGTCATCAAGGTAAAAATGAGAGTTTTTGCGCGGTGTAAATATAAATTGGTGGAACTAGAATAATAGACATTAATTCCACTAATTTATATTCATACTGCGATAAAACTCTCATTTTTTAACCTCGGTAATGAGGTTAGCAACATCGAAACGTCGGACAACTATAGTTTTATTATTTCGATTGAAGGTTTTCAGTAAATTGCTAATATGAATATTATTGGGTAATTATAGTCTACAAAGCGTTGGTCACTTCATTTAGTGAAATCATTTCATAGAAACAAGGCTGTTTCATTTTCGTTTGATTTTCTCGTTTTCAAGTCTTATAACAGTTATTGTGGGAATGGAATCCGTGAAGAAGGAGAAGAATGTGACTGTGGCACTCCTGAGGTTTGTCATTGTTGTATTTGTATTAAATATTTCAGCTTTTATTTCTCAAACATAATTAAAGACAAGTCAGGTCTCTTTGATCACACTTGTCTTAGAACAGGTTCAGAGATCTTGAGGGGAAATCACTGATCAAGGAATATGATCATGCTAACAAACTATTAACAATGTAAACAACGAGGTTACTATTAATTGTTTTCTGCTTCACTCAGTTAAATAGAATTATCTACCATTCTCTGCCTCGTTGACTAAGCTTTCAGTCAGAGCTCCAGTAAGTCAAGTTATTGATTTTTTTGCCAGTTTTCGGTCTGAACGGACGAGCGGCCGAATTTTTTAAAATTGGTATTGGTAAATTGGTATTGAAGAAGAGTGGAATACTGAGACCTTGTAATCGCTTAGGCAGAATGGATGCAATATATAACTTGACTAGTCATAAATTGCAAGTGAATTTTTTTTTTAACTTAGGTACCTTATACCACTCAAGAGTTTTTAAATCAAAACAATAATCAATTTTCATAATTAAGTCTTACTTCGACGATAGCAAAGACGGAGCTTTTTGCGAGAATTTAATAAATATTAATTAATTTCCTCAGATGTGTCAGATCAAGGATTCTTGTTGTGAGCCTCACAACTGTGTTCTTAAAAAGGAATCGCAATGCAGTGACCTACACCATTCATGCTGCGAGAACTGCCTGGTAGTGTAATGTAGAATCATAATCCATTTAATTCATTTAAATAAGCTTGCTGAGAAGTAATTTGATGAAGGAGCACCATAAATACCTCTGAGAACTTCCTGAGCGCGAGCATCGTTGGCTGGGGAGCTTTAACTCTCAGCCAATTTTGTGAATCGTTGTCGGCTGATTCAAGGAATCAAATGATAACGGGAGGACAGTGCTGGAAAAAGATGAGAGAAATATTTTTTAAGGGAAAACGCCCCCAGAACCTTATGAAAACTTTCACTCCAGCACGTGCCTTCCAAATCTCTTTTCCCATCGCCAAAACTCGATAAATTAGTAGAACCGGGATAAGGAATTACACATGAAAATTACGACCTTGGCAAGTCTGCTTAAAATGGACAACCAGTCTCAATTTTGCTTAAAGAACATAAATGCTTTAGAAATTCTTTTTCAGAAGTGGAAACGATTTAAAAAAAAGCGTTAAGGTATTTTTTTCAACTTTTTTTGCCTGTGGTAAGTTGTCTGTAAGTCACTAGTCTAGCGATTCCGGAATTGAGATGTTCACTTGAGAATGAAGCCTGTATAATGTGCTGCAGTTTCACAGCATATTGTGGTTACTTTTTCTTCTGAGGGACTATTCTCTTTTCGAAACTATTTAAAAAAGAAGTTTAAAAATAACACCATGAGAGAGCCGCACCAAGTTAACGGGGTGGATGTAAACATCATACTCTCTCAATCATTCCTTTTAGTACAAGAAACAAGGATCGTTGTGTCGTGGAGTCAAAACAGATTGTGATGTTCCGGAATACTGCACTGGTAATTCTCGGGATGTAAGTATAGCTCTAACAAATGAACTCAGTATTTATGACTTTCTAACACATTAATGACTGACCATGCAATTGCTTCATAAATGAAGCACTAAAACAAGAAATTCCATGTTTTGTTTTCAGTGTCCAGGAGATTCATACATAATTGATGGATACCCTTGCAATCAAACTAAAACAGTGAGTGAACCCAGTCGCCTTTGCATAACGAGTATGACATGTGAAACAGTATTTTTGATCCTGCATCGGTTGATTGCTAATTCACACTGACCGCTAGGAGAGGTGAAAGATTAGAGATGAGCAACAGGGGTTACATCAAAGTCCCACTGCTCTTTTTCGATAGAAGCACTTTGCCAGCATTGGGGCTAAATTGAAGCCCACTTAAAAGTTGTGTATGTCGCTGATTTGCTTTCAGTGCTGTTAGCTTTTATTTTTTGGTTCATGTAATAAGTTAATTCCAAATTTCCAGAACCGATTAACATGTAACTTCTCCTAACAATATCAAAATATATTACAGCGAATGGTCGATGAGATAATGTTTTGATTGACAACGCCTTCACTTCTTTTCAAAAATTACATGGAAATAGATAGTGCATAGCAATTAGCTAGTGGGTAGAAATCTACTACTCATCAGAGGATAAAAAAATTGTGGTTATCAAATGGTCATTTGAGGATGTGGTCTTTTTTTAAACATACTTGCACTGAAAACTATTAGAGATATCTTCAGCTTTACATTTACGACACTTTTTAAATCACTGTTTCTCCTTTAACTCGTTTAGTCTGACACGTATAGAACGATATCTTTTTCAGTGCTCTTCACGAAAGTACTGCATCGCTATGCAAACATCGTTTACTGATGTGAGCAGCTAGTGGTAGTGCATATAGTTACTATTACAATTAATTAATTTGTATTTTTATTAAGATTATACAAGGAAACACCAACTATTTTCGTGTGAACCACAGAACCCTGAATCCAAGAGTCAGCGCTCGTTATCTTCGTATCAATCCTCAGTACTGGAATGGCTGGCCTTGTCTAAGAACGGAGTTTCTGGGGTGTTCAGCGGGTGAAGGTAAATGTCATGTCATATGGTGGGGAAAATTTTTAAATTTAATTTCTGGCCATATTTGACTGTGCTTTGAAATAGGTTAAATTTCCTTTATTTCCTTCTAACTTTTATTTTAATTCAATAGAAAAACTTCTGAAACTGAAATCTGTTTTGAAAAATAATGAGAATTTATGAAAAAATAAAGTATAATTTGTAGGAAGTTGAGTGAAAAGACAAGACTCATGCCTATGGCTTTATTGTTATTAAAGGCAAAATGTTTAATTTTGTTTCCTTTTGTAGGAAAAGTGTTTCTAAGAAAAGGGTTGGGAAATATAGAAGAAACCATTGGAAAAATTAAGAGCCAAATTTAGACTTTCAACAAAAGTCACCACAAGAATTTTGTTACTCTGGGGTACTTTTGGAAATTTCGATTTAAAAATCCTCCTTAAACATTTCAGGAAATTGAGACAGTAACAGAAAGTATCATTCAGAGAATTGCTTGGATCATGTTAATTTATCGCTAATGATTGTGGCGACAATGCATACAGGAATTTGGGGTGAAATCACTTGTATTGCTTTGGCTTTGCGTTTACGGAATATATCAACCTCATGAAACTCTCACTAATTTAGTTTAAAGTTAATTTGTTTTGTTTCCACAGTTAGTCCAACTGCCGCAACTCCTCTTAAGTCATACGGTCTGGATCTTTGTCTCACTCCATCAAACCAGTCTTGCTCGCCAAATGACAACGACCGCTTAATATACAGACCTGGAGGTCTGTGCTCAGAAAGTCATTTCCAATTTACACTTGATGCAGACGGGGTGTTACGTCATAATTGCAGCGGTAAAATGGTGTGTCCCGAGAATGGCGGCACTGGTAATGGTGTGAAGATTGTTGTTAGCAGTACGTGCAAAACAGAAGATTCGAAATTTAAGCGGACATCAGGTTTGATGTAATTTCGCTCCTTGATTTCGTAAATTACTGTGTATGCTTTCAGTCAAAGGGCTTTTTAGAGAGGTGGGCTTGCTAAAAGTTCACTGGGGTCCGGAATATGCGTCTCCGAGTATTTCTGACTGACTGATAAAGGCTTTGAGATACAAACATAATCCACTCACCGCTAGCCCCTGTTCACTTGAGCACAACACTACTCTCTCAAACCTGACTGACTCTTGTTCATCCTATATTCTCCAAAATCTGGGAAAGATAAATGGAAATTGGGAAGAATTTTTTTCTTTTAATGATGGAAAAGGCTTTTGACTTTTGCAAGTAAGTGTAGTCAGAGATAACACCGAAAAATGTATATCCTTCGGAAGGCACTCTAACACGACGTTTTTTTTTTTTTCTACGGTCTTGCTACCTACAGCAACAGCACTTCATCAGATTGGAAGAGATTGAGCAACCTAAATCGAATATAAATTAACTCTTATATAAGTCCTTAATACAATGTAAATACGTTTGGAAATGATTCGCTCGTCTTTTCACAACGTAATTAATATATAGTCATTGTGTTCATTTCTAACGTTACAGTACACTTATCTGTCTTTTAAACAAAGTGTTTAAACTATTTTTTCGACAGGACGGTCTCTGAAGCATCTAAATACCGGGAAATGCGTCCATACATATGGAGCTTGGCCTGGCGTCGACAGACACATGGTATTGTGGTCAGGATGCGATGAACGACGGCTGGAACTATGGTTTGCAAAGCAAGGTAATTTATGTTGGTGAAACATACAGCTGAACAGTGTGTAAAAACTTAAATGTAGTGTTACGAATTATTTTAATGCAACATGTACATGAGGTTTCTTATCCGAGAGATTATTTATCAAAATCCAAATTAACAACAGAGAAGTAACTGAGGCGGTTTTAATGGCCAAGTAATCAACCATTCTTTCCGTAAAATTGTAAGAGGGGCACAAATACGCTCGATTCACAAGGAACATATCCTATCGGACAAATCACATTAAAAAAAAAAGATGACACGGCACGATAAGTTTGTTTGTTAAGCACGTGCACAAGGTTGCATAACATAGCGGGTTCCATTAAAGGAAACTAAAGATGGCGAAAGCTTTTCTTAAATAAAGCCCGAGATTTCGGGTGATAATCTATTTGTTTTGCTAAGGACAATAAGTTTACTATAACCTTTGGTAATGGTTGGCGCGACACGATCGAAACGCGCTCAATTGAAATTAGATATACCTTATTTATAGAGTGTGTGGACCCTCTCGGAATGCAGAGCGGTGATATTAAAGACAGCCAGATCACTGCGTCTTCATCCAGACCAGCAGATCTCCCGCATTATGGCAGGCTGCATAACGGAAAGTACTGGTGTGCCAAAGAGAAAAACAAAAACGAGTACATACAGATTGATTTTGGACAGGTATCTCCAATCTCTAATCTGTTATATTATGAGCCTTCTGTATAAAGTGCTACAGTGAAGACCTTACCTCGCGGTCATTGTATCAAGAAAGCCTCAATCGTAGCCTTAATTTTTTTTTAATGCTTTTCTAGTCACTTTTCTTTTCTTTTTTTTACAGTCCCCTTTTTAATTATCATTTAAGATTTTTTTCTGTTTTTTTCCTTAAATTTGGTGATAGTTTGCTGCGAAAAAAAAGCGAATCATTACAGTGTCACGTGTTTTAAGAGAGAAAGCAGAATATAAGAGAAAACATGAAAGACCAAAAATAGTTTCACAGTCTACATGTGTTTGAGTTTGTGAGTGATTTGCGTACAGTTGAAGTTCAAAAACGTACAGTTGAAGTTCAAAAACGAGTTGGTGATGACATGTAGTAAGTGTTTCTGAATCATGAGAAGTCGACTCTCCGTATCATGCTTCTAACTTTTGGCCGATTTTTCTTTTTGTAGGTACAAACGGTGAGCAAAATTTTGATACAGGGACGTGGAAACTGGTACGACTGGGTGACTGGCTTCTACTTGTTCCTCAGCAATGATGGTCAGCGGTGGACTGGTTATTCAGAGAGTGGAGACAAACAACATTCTAATGTAAGGGAAATATTTGAAACGGTGATTATAAATGTGACTTTACACCGTTAGGTTCTTATTGACATTTTTCCTTGTTTTAAAACCGATTCAGTAAGGAGAATATTCGCTTGTTTGGTTCGAAAACTTGGTATGAAACAAAAGAGAAGGGAAAAGTGAACATTTTGATTCGTTTATTCGCGATAAAAGATAGCGAACATGTGCACCTGTCAGGAGAATTTCTCTAAAGCCACTGACTTACACAACTATTGTTGTTTCAGTCGCATTGCTACAAAGGAAAATGCAGCGAAATTCACGAAACTCAGTGCAAAGACTTGTGGGGAGCAAGTAAGTTTGAATAAACGTTCTTATTATTTAGACATGACTTAATGCCTTTACAATTAAACTGCGTCCAGTCAACAACTGAAAGCGATTATCCTCTAAACAGTTGTATCTTTAAGTTATAGATACTTAGCCACCTCAAGTTGCTTTATCTAAGGTCATGACAGAGACATTTACCTGAGCTTCTAATACTTTACTTGTAACCCAAATCAATTAATTTTTTAGCCGCCAATAATGCCGACCAAGGATGTTATGACAAACTAAACACTGAAGCTGCTGGATTTGGCACATGTGATCCAGTTACAAATGCATCATGCGCTGCAAGGTACAATCCCACAATGCAAGTTTGGAAGAATAATCACCCGGTGGACTTAAAAGATATCTTTTTCAGGGAGTTTTAAAACGAAGTACAATCTTTCATCTCACAACATAGTCACTTTGTATATGGACCGCGACGTTTCGACAACATACTGCTTATTCAGGCGATAAAGTCGATTTAGTACGCGTTACCTTATAAACTGTTCTTCTCAGTTGTTATTCGTTGGAATTCCACAGCTGATACTAGCGCATTTCGTCAAAAGGTTCCTTCAGTGGTCCGCGGTCGAACGGCCCTTGACCTGTTGTGTCTCTTGATCGTCAGTATCCATACTTCCGGGATTTCTATTCCATTGTCCCTCTTGATGTTGCTAGGGTGAAGCCCTGGAAGTTTATTTGGGCAATTTGCCTTTCCTTATAATCATTCTATTTTTGATAAACCAACCAGAAATAGAAGGACGTAGGTATGCCTTAAATGCTATGATTGCTTTTATACGTATCTGGATCCCAAAGGTGTTTCAGTATGCAAACATTTCAAACTTCTTAATTCATACATGTTCATATCTCTCTCCTTTCCTTAATTTGAAAATTTCCTTTTTGTGGCGACCACTGATATGCAATTTGCCGAAAATATTCATTGTGCAAACGTTAATGAGTTTCCTTAATTTTTTTCTTAGTAACGTGTTATGCGGTCAGCTTCAATGTGAAGACAGCAGAGATAGACCTGTTGTTGACTACGGATGGACGTACACCAAGATAAGTTTAGATAATGGGAAACAATGCAGGTATTAAAGTATGTTCAAAACCCCATGTGAAAAAGTACAAATGTGTTCTCTATTTTTTTCTTAATTTAATCAATTTGGATACTTCGAAAAGTATTCAAGGAGAAGTTGAAAAACGTGTTTCTAGGGAAACCATGTTTACGGACATTATCAAGGGAAAGCAATATATATCTATCGAAAGAATTAGTATTTTAAGTCAAGATGGCCCGTTGTGGTTCGTTCGCTGAACTCCAGATCCACCTTCCTTCGGTACCACTGACTTATAAGAAAACCGATGGAAATACTGTTGATATGGGTGGTTATGATAATAACGAGAAAGGTAGGGTAGGGGGGTGGGGGTGGGGGTAACTTGCGATGAACCATTTTGCCAGCCTCGAGGAAGTAGGAATATTCCTAGTCGCTTCATGTTAAGGAAAACGGGATAGGCCGTGGAGATGCGAACTATTTAAGAGTCTTTTCACCCCACTCTTTAATATTTGAAAGGTATACGTTCTGATTGCTATGAAAAATGATTTGTGTAAAAAGAGTAAGACTTATCGCCACAAAACAAAATTCTTGGAAAAAAAAGCGTAGGCTCTTGGACAGTGTGACAGCCTAATGTATTCTTTCTTCCCACAGTGCTGCAACCTTAAAATCTATAGATGACCTCGGTGAGGGAATGGTTAGAGAAGGGACAAAATGTGGAGATGATAAGGTACCGTGAATAAAAATTTACTCTTCCTATCCCAGGAATGGCCCCTGAGCATTTCCTTCTTGCGATAGGAATAAATTGTGGAGAAAAATGGTAACGAGGGGATAGAAAAAACATCAATCAACGATTTTAAATTCAACACCAATTATGTAGAGGCCAAAATTGTAAAAAGTTTGGCAGACAATAGAGAAAATTTTATCGAGATCTTTAGAGTGTCTATTCGGCTGTTCTTTCGTAAAGTACGAGTTTCCTTCTAAGTTTAAAAACAATACCGATTTTTTTCCTTCCACTTGAAGCCAGTGATCTATTAAAGCCGTTTAGGCCAACACTGATACCTGAAACTCCAAATTATAAAATAGAATTACAGTAGTATACAATTCCAACTTTTATGAGGCAAATACCTCTCAAGATTATTTTATGATTTTCTACAGGTTAAGGTAACAAAGAATTTTGTTGAATTTTGTATTTTGTTACAGATGTGTATAAATTACAAGTGTCAGTCATTTGATTCTCTCGACATTGGCAATTGTCCGGTGGCAAATAACAAGGAGTGTGGGGGAAGAGGAGTAAGTTAATAATTAAGGCTAATTTTTCAAATCCATGACACCTGAATTGACCTTCAAAATCCTTCAGCATACTTGTTACTTTTCGTTCATTTTGCCGTTGTTGTAATTGTTTACTCTAAATGTCGATTCACTCATTGAAGTCTTTATTTTTCGAAAGTATTTCTCTAATATCGTGACATGTCTCTCTCAAAGGTTTTTTTTTACTTCTTCTGTCGATGCATTTGCATTCAAAATCCGCGTTTCACCACATCGCCTTTCTCCTAGAAGCTTTTTCATTTAATGATATCGGTGTCTTAATTTAAAGTGCCACTAAGTTATTTATAAAGTTAGAGGAGATAATATGCATTAATATGGTTTCCTCGTCAGAAATAAACTTGATATGATAAGCTTTGCTGGCTCTTCAGATCAGTTTAGATGTCTATCCTCAGTTGATGCCAAAAAAGAAACAAACAAATAAACGAAGAAGCAAACGAGAAAAAGAAAGAACAAAACAATTTTTAACAAAACAACTGAAACCCAAAAAATTAAGAAGGTGCGTGTAGTCGATATTTTAATCAAAAAGGAGAAGCGGCAGTAGAGCTGAATCTCAATGCTATGCAAAAACCCTGTCTTTGTTTATTATTTATGCATTCCAACATTTGGCCAAACAACATTTTGTTCGATAGACTGTATCTAACTCCTCATTCTTTTATTTAGGTTTGCACTAACAAAAAGTTGTGTCATTGTGAGGGAGGATTTGATTCTAAAGACGGCTGCGCATCGGGTAAGAGATAATTAGAGAATTCAGGAAAGTAAGGGAGGTACTTCACGACAATTTATTCTCAGTTAGGTTTAAGCGTTTTTAAAAAAGCCCTAAATGGAGGTTGCTAATGGTATTTTTGTGAAGGGGAAGTCTTTTCATTTTCGTAGAATTCAGGAAAATAAGGGAGCTTCCTTACAACAATTACCTATAGTTAGGTTTCAGCGTTTACAAAAAAAGCCTTTGATACAGGTTGCTGATGGAATTTTTGTAAAGAGGAAGTATTTTCTTTAATCGTAGAATTCATCATTATCATTATAACTATTATGATTATATTTGTTTTTATTATTATAATCATTAAACTGACCCATTCCAGCTCTGGTACCTCGAGATGGAGCCTGGGGTGAGTGGTCGTCATGGACTGTGTGTGACAAGGGTTGTGATGGTGGAAAGAGAAGAAGACATCGGTTCTGTGACAATCCGTTCCCCCTACATGGAG